ATACTATCTTAAATTTTCTACCCACAAGTTCAAGTACCTCCTTACGCTTTATTACATGAAGAGCAACCACTACCCCCAAATTTTCACTAGTGAGACACTGAGCCATTCGAGGATATATTAAAATTGATCCCTCACACTAAGACTATTGACCAAAGCACCCAACCTGTGCAGCTAGAAGCTGCAGTATTCTCGTTTCATTCTCCTAGCCAAGACAACTTCTGTAGCCTAGAATGTGTAATTCAGGCTTCTCTTACTCCCCATTCCACACACACTTCAGAAAACCCCTTGTCAAAATATCCATTATCTCAGTTCTGAACTCTAACGAAAATATCACTAAGCCTAAAGAAATTAAAACACAACATCTCAAAAGTGACTTCTGCTATGGCTTTAAATAAACATTTGTGGTTCTCACAAGAAACCAGATAGCATGAATGAACCTCAGAATTAGAGTTCTCCCTTTTGAGGCATAGTCAACTATGCATGACATTAAAAAAGGGAAAAAAAATCCAAATAAACAGAAAATGGAAATATTGAGTATAATCCTATTTGCCTCATATAGGCTCACTGCTGACAAGTCTACCCTTATTGATCTACATGAGCCTTCAAAGATTTTTCCAGCGGCAGAAAAACTGGAGACTCTTGATAACTAGTGTATTTTAGAGATACAGAGCTCTAACTTAGTTACCTGAATAGGTGCCGGTCTCAAGGCAAATAACTCATTGCGGGCTCCTTTTGTGTATCCATTCATGTTAATGAGAATGTGTATTCCATCCTGGTGAATGCGGTCTGCTGCTTTTCCATTACATGGTATCTGCATAATAATTGAAAAAAAAGAAATTATTTTTATGTTTGGTCTTTCAACAATAGTTAAGTTTAGTGACCGACATACCAATGAATACGTATCAGTGGCATAATGCAATTTAGGTGAGACTTAAGTCTTGTCATTCCTAGTTTTATGGACATATAAAAGTCATCAACTCAAGGTTAACATCGACTGCCATAGTGCTCTATGGTTTTGACTTTTTTCTTGATATATTGTAACAACTCCTTGATTTCTACAGGTATTTGAATTGTATCAGCAAGTTTTTTCTTTCACACAGAACAAACAACCCCGTGCAAGCTTGAATATATCTGCAGTTATGTTATCGTAACTTATTTGTGGCATTTAGATATGAATATTATCTTAGGACTTCATGAAACAGTTATTCAGCATCATTAAAGCTGTTTTTTAACAATCACACAGAGATTACACAATGCCCCCAGTTAGGCATAACACTAGTACATAACCTTCAAACCTCCAAATTCAAGACTAATCTCAGCCCAATTCAATAAATCACTGCAACTAAAAGCCTCAAATTACAGGCCAAGATATGTTTCATTTTGTTTTTCTAAATAGTTAGTGCATTAAAAAAGCTCACCTGAGATAAATCAACAAAATGATTTGCTTCAGCCATCACTTTTACACGGAAGTTTGTACCATCATCAGGACTCAGGGCATAACAGAACACCTAGAAGCAGCAGCACAAGTTAAATATTTGTGACACTGCACCACCACCTCAACTTTGTGATAAATATATTTTTAAATTACAACAGTATATATTAGTAAAAATTAATGATTTTAAAATTTAAAATTAGTAAATCTTCTGTCAGAAAAATGTATTTATTGATGTGACTTTAATCAGTTGAGAAAGAAGCCAAAAAAAGTAGCACTGGGAACATGAGACATTCACATCAGGCCCTAGTTTTATCTATTTCTGGAACTGGTGTAAGACACTGCATCCTGCAGAGATAGATATCATGTTCCCATCAGCACAAGGTTAAGTAATTTTATTAAAAAGATCTGCATAAACATTACCTTCTCAAAGAACATTCTGTACAAGATAACTCTGAATTCATAATTAATGGCAAATGCAACTATGACTCAGCTTGAGCAGGTAAATTCTTTAGATAGAGCTACTAGTTGTACAAAAGCGAGCATTTCCTCTCCAGTTAAGAAACCAGCAAGGTACTCACTCTGAAACCAAAGGCTGACAAGGTAGGTACCCATGCATCTTTAGCTAGCCTCATAGACAAAATAATCAATTCTCTGACATTGGTTCTATCTTGCAGGACAAAAAGGCCAATTTTAGTAAAAGAATGGATAACCGTGTATCCAAATTACATTCTACAAAGCTTTACAAATTCAGAACAAGAAAGATGGAAAATAGCATTCCTCTCCCCACTTCCTATTGTGTACACAGAACATCTGGCCTGTAACAGTTTTGTTAAAAATAACTGTTTTAACAGTGACACTTCTAACAAGAGCATAAGCACACAGTTCTGCCACGAGGATTTTGGACTATAAAGGTTTCATGGACAAGAAAAAAATATGGGAAAAAAATATGG